TATAATTTCTAATAACTCTTGGTTTATAAACATGGCCAATTTTACAAGATTTTTAAGCACGTGGAATCTTTCCATATAATCCTTCCATTATTCCGTCTGAAGAATTACTTGACAACTATGTGTAAAATAGGTTAGTAACTAATCCAGACCTCTTTGATTAAATTAAAACAAATGATAATAAAACAACAATCGAGCAGATAAAAAAAATAACAGACAACACAAAAGTATTTTTAACAGATATCAAACCGAAACAATGTGTATTAATCTAACAGTTTTTAATGTAATTACCAACCCAAGATCTGCTATAGCCTGATCATGTCTATTTATGTGAACCTGTAATTGTATTAGAAATACATAACATCGAAAGGAAACTAAGAAACTGAACTAAGTAAGTCTCATTGACATGCAATTGAATGTTTTCAGTTCTGCTAACTAAAAGGGTCAAATTTATTAAACATAAACCCAATATTTGTCAGATGGAAAAAACTAAAAGCTACAAGTAATAAAGCTGCATTTACTAGAAAATTTCAAGACAGCTTTTCAGTTACATTGGACTCTGAAGTTGAACAACCAATTGATCAGCATGCAATTGATTTTACAACACTATTAGCTTCTGTTTTTAAATTTCCTTTATGCAATTTAAGCAAAAAAATATTCAATTATAATTTTGATATAGACCTTTTTGTTAATATGTTTTCAGAAACAAATTTGTAAAGATGCAGCTGGAATTTGGTCACTTTATGCTAATTTTTTTTTTTTTTTTAACATCTTCACTTCCAACAAGGCTGCAAGCAACCACTATAAGAGTTGGAAGATACTGGAAGAGAAAAGACTAAATCTGTAGAGCAAGATAACGATTGACTGATGACTTAAAAGATTGCAAATTATATGAATCAGGAAAGCAAGATGAAGGAAGCGAATTCCAAAGAACTGATGTTCGAGGAAAAAAACTAGAAGAATAAGAGTTTTTGAAGCACTTAGGAACAGTCACAGAAAAAGGATGAGACTTAATTGAATGGCGAGTAACACGAGAATGAATTTTAGTAGATGGCACAAGGGACGCTAGCTCTTTAGAGCAGTGCCCATTATAGTATTTGTAGAAAAGAGAAAGAGAAGCAACATTACGACGATGTGACAAAGGTTGGAGATTGGCTGCCAGAGCAGGTCCAACTATGTTTACAATTTGTTTTTGCACCTTGTCTAAAAGAGAAAGAGCATCATTAGAAGATCCGCCCCAGATGTGGCAACAGTATTCCATACAGGGACGGATTTGAGATTTATAGAGATAGAGAATAGAATCTGGAGTAAGAAAGTGTCGAGCTCGATAAAGAGATCTTAGCAGATGCTAATTTTGCAATGGATTTGATATACGGTTTAAAAGAAAGATCAGAAGTAAGAGTTAATCCTAGAAGATGAATGGTAGATGACTCATCTAGTACATTACCATTCATAAATATAAGAAGATCTAAATTATTACGATAACGATTGGCCGAATAAAATTGAGTTTTATCTGAATTAAAGTTCACCAGCCACTGTGAGCCCCATGCTGTAGCAGAAGTGAGATCCTTTTCAAGCTCAGATACCCCCTCCAAGCAATCAGAGAGTGTAGGCTTCTTATCATGACAAGAGTAAATGGTAGTGTCGTCAGCGAATAATGCCACCTTATATGTGAGAATATCTGGAAGATCGTTAATGTAAATTAAAAAGAGTATAGGGCCAAGGATTGAACCTTGAGGAACCCCCGAAGTTACAGGATATGAAGAAGAGTGTTGTCCATCGAGGACAACTTTTATACTACGATTGGAAAGAAAGGACTCAATAATCTTAAAGACGTTACCAGCTACACCATAAGAAGAAAGCTTATGGAGAAGACCAGCATGCCAAACTTTATCAAAAGCTTTAGAAATGTCAAGTGCGATAGCCTTAACCTCTCCACCTCTATCTAATGCACGGTAAAACCTGTCGGTTATTACTGTTAGCACATCAGCTGTAGAACGAGAAGACCGAAATCCATATTGATGATCAGAAAGTAAGTTATTTGATTCAAGATGAGAGATTAAGTGTTTGTTGATTAAAGATTCAAAAACCTTGCTTATGACAGGAAGAAGACTAATGGGACGGTAGTTAGATGAATCAGATCGCTCTCCGGAATTTTTGAAAATAGGGATAACAGATGCTGCTTTCCAGCATGATGGAAAACAAGACTCTGATAAGCACTTGTTAAATAGTTTAGAAAGTATGGATGAAAGCTCCGGAGAACACCTCTGCAAAACTACAACAGGAATGTTGTCAGGACCACAAGCTGTTGAAGAGTCTAAGCAGGAAATTACTTTAGATACAGAAGCTGAAGTGATGCGAATGTCAAGCAAGGGATCAACCTGTTTGACGGCTATGTCAGGTAAAACGCAACTAGTGGAATCAAGAGATGATATTGATGAAAAGTTCTTAGCAAACAATTCAGCTTTGTCTTTAGGTGAGGTGACAAAGTCTGAACCATACAAGAGAGAAGGAATAACAGATTTGCCCTTATTATTGATACTGTTAAAGATTCTCCAGAAGTCTCGAGAGCCTAATTTTTGTGATGAGATACGAGATTTAATGACCTGGGAATAGCGAGCTTTGGCGTCAGACAAAACCTTTTTACAATGGTTTCTGGCGATAGTGAACAGATGTCTGTTTTCTGGAGAATTGTTTTGCTGATAGATATGGAAGTAACGGTTTCAATTAGAAATTGCTGCAGCGCAATGTGAGGAAAACCAAGGAGAAGAATGAGGCTTGACCTGGAATCGTCGAGAGGGAATAAAAGATTCCATGCCAGCCTGAATCCACGAAGTTATGTAAGAAGCACATTTGTCAGCAGGAAGACGAAAGATTTCTACCCAAGGGCCATCACGAAGAAAATCACGGAAAGAGTCCCAGTCAGCTTTAAGGTAGTTGTATGTGGTACGATGATAGGGGGATTCTGATGAAGTAGAAGAATTTGATAATAGTTTTAGAGAGATCAAACCGTGATCAGAAGTACCTAAGGGTGAATGTGGAGAAATTGAGCACTGACTAGGATCCAAAACAAGACATAAGTCGAGTAGAGAAGGTAAATGATTAGGGTTGTCTGGAAAACGAGTTGGAAAGTTGACTATTTGAGTTAGAGATTGAGAAAGGCAAAAGTTGAGGGCCTTAACGCCAGCAGAGTCACTGACACTAGAGCCAAGCCAATCGGTGTGATGGGCATTAAAGTCACCAACAACGACGATATTGGCCGATGGATAAAGAGAGAGGGCTTGGTCAATTTGATCAGAAATAACATCAAGAATAGTGCAATCTTGGGATGAAGGAGAGCGATATAGAACAAAGAGAAAGGCGATAGAGTGAAGTTGTGCTAAACGAAAGCACATAAATGAATAGTCTGTAGATTCAAACCTAGTTTCACGACAAATGGGTGAGTTCTTACGAATGTAGATGCCCAGGCCAAGCATGTGATTATTGGAGTCTTTACGAATTAAAGGAAGATAACCATCAACACTAAGATCACAAGATGGGACAGCCGAACTCAAATTAGTCTCACAAAGAGCAAGTAGGTCTGGTGAACTTTGCAAGAGATAAGACTCAACAGAAGAAAAGTTACTTCGAAGACCACGAATATTAGTAAATGATAGGTTTAGAGAACTTGGTGATGACAATGGTTTTTTGTGTTTTTTAGTTTTAGGTACTTTAGTCATTTTAAATTTATAAAGAACTTGACTCAAGTATAGATAGTACTCAGTACACTATTTAACAACTAAGCAATAGCCTCATTACTATTAATAAACCCTAAGCCGTAACAAAGGGCTCCAAATGTGGCCTCTGCAATGCACACCAAAAGTACAAACAGGGACACCACCCATGCGCAACATGGCACTGTTAGTACTCTGATATTTTTCGGCCGTTGATGGAATCAGCCTCTCTGAGAGCTACCACAGAGTTCGGGAAACCTGACTACCAGCCGGCCTCAGAACCATAAAACTGAGTTTTAGAGCTGTACCCTCATTAGGAGATAATAGAATGAGTTGCAATTGGTTAAAAAACGTTTTGAGCCAATCATTTAATGATTAAAATAACAATGGCATCAGTTGATACAATTCAACCTAAATTTTTCTAAAAAATAAATAAAGGTGATTGGTTAAAACCATTATAAAATAGCTTTTTAACCAATCAAGATTGTAGATACTAGAAAATAATTGCATCAGTTGCTCCAAAACAGAGGGGACATCCATAAAGTACGTCACATTAAATTTGAATTTAAACTAGAACTAGGCTCTTGTGTGCAGGGATTTTTAAATTAAAATTGCATTTTATGTTGAAGGAAAATCTCTACACAAAAGAGCAAATAATATCCAACTTATACAACTTGAGAAAAAGTTCAGTTTTAGGTATAGGTTAAAAATGGATACACTTAAATTTAGTGATACAAAAAGACTGATACTAGAGCATCACCCTGGATCTAACTCTGAATAAGAAGAACTTCTGTAAAACAAATTTACATTAGTAGATTAGCCAAAGTAGAATATAGTAGAACAGCCAAACTGAAGACAAACTAATTTTCCATAAAAACAGAAAAATATTTTCCAATATACCAGTATGGTGACCAACCGAATGTTAAAAACAACAACAAACAACAAATACCTCAGATATTAAAGACTTTTTATATGCTACTGTAGTAACATAATTTAAAAGAAGTGTGTATTTGTTATAAAAAATATTTCTAATAATTTTTAGCAAAATATGCAAAGATGACATTAATTTGAACCAATAGTATTTGATGCTCTAAAACATTAAAATTTATGGATCCCAGAAGCATATTTATAGTTGCAAAACGTTTTGAATTTTAATGTAGAGGATATTGTTATTATTCTTTTATTTAAAATTCATTGAAATAAAACAAATTAATGTTAGAATTGAAAAAACCACAGTAAAACATGATTCCTTATCTTATAATGTTTTAATATTTAAAAAAATAATAATACCTGATTTGCACTATCAAGCCATTTCTCTATACTAACAACTTGAGTGACATCACTTTCATCAAATAGGGTTGGAGCAAGTGTACGACATAAATAACGTGCAATAGCAGCATCACCATATATACGAGTTTGATGCAATGGAGAGAACATCAGAGAAGGCAAAAAGCTGTCTATAAAAAATATATATTGAAAGATTAAAATGTTTTTTCAATGTAAACCTTAATCTTTAAAAAAAAAATTATTTCTGCTGTAATTTATATTCTGCACGTGTGCTGCTTAAACAAAATCTTAACCATCAATATAGTTAAAACTTTTTCGATTTCTCTTAAAGTATATTTAAGTATGCGTTTTCATAATTTCATTTTATACAATATAAAAGTTTATAAAAAATACTAAACATTATATATAAAAAATGTTAAATTATATGTAATTCAATAAAACTCATTTTGCTTGCAAGAAATCAACAATTTAGCTGCAATTATAAAACATTTCTTTTGTTCATTGTTTAAAATACACACACATAAAAACACTTATCTACCTTTTTTCCAGATAAATGTAAGCACCACATCAGCATCAGTTCGACTCAAGTTTCCACTTTTAACAATATCAAGAATTTCATCTGAAACATTTTTATGGCAGGATGAATGTATATGATATGCAGTTGCAACTTTAACACCAGCATGTTTAAGCAACTCAGCTATAAGCAAAGGTGTTATAGAAGGTTGTTGAGACGATACTGAAATGACAAAATCTAACTTTCCAGGAGGAAGATTAGGTAATAACGCAGGTGCAACTAACTGCGAAAAAAAAAAGAAAAAAGCTGCTTACTTTAACACACACACAAACACACACACATATATATATTATATATATATATTATATATATATATATATATATATATATTATATATATATATATATATATATATATATATATATATATATATATTATATTTTATATATATATATATATATATATATATTATATTTTATATATATATATATATATATATATATTATATTTTATATATATATATATATATATATATATATATATATATATATATATATATATATATATATATATATATATATATATATATATATATATATATATATATATATATATATATATATGAAGAGCTTATTTTCAAAACGCGGTAAGCGCCAATTTCAAAAAAACTGCGTTAAATGACTAATTTTGAAGAGAAAATTAAATCCTTTTAAGTCATGTTTGTAACTAATTAATTAGGCTTAATTTTTTTTGTTAAATTTAGGCTCTAAAAATAATTTATTTCAAATTTAATTTAATCAAAACGCTGTATAATTTTTTTAGTTTATTTTTAATGTGCTGCATATTTTTTTTGACCAACCCATGCTTATATAAAGTTACTCCACGCAAGCGCAATAAGCATATTTAAATAATGATAATAAAGAAGGCTGATTTGGATGGTTTAGATGAAAGTGTTGTGTTAACCTTAAAATCATGAATAAGAAAAAAAAAATGTTCTGCAACAAAGAAAAATTTAGACAATCAAGTGGAGGAAAAATTCCTTCTATAGTATGTAATCATGTTTCAGGTTACTGCAAAGTGAGTTTTTTGGTTTTATTGATCTTCGTAAGTTTTAAAGTTTATAATTCATGAGTTTAAAGATTTAATATAAACAATTTTGAAAAAGAAACTTTTTATTTTGATAAACAATAACTTGGCTTAGTCTGTGTTTATGACAAAATAATCATTTATTGATTGACTTATTTCAGGCTCGAGATAAAACACAGGATAATTTGCTTAAACATCATACAGAATTCTATAGTATTCATATTTATAGAGATCATGTACAACTTGTTTCCAAAGTTTCTCATATTGTTTATGGTATGGAAGTACGTCAAAACTTATTGTGGATAAAATTCTAATCAGAAAGCATCAAAAGAGTTTTTCGTTTAAAGATTTGTTTGTGCCTGAATAAATATTTGTTATAAAAATTTAAATAATGAGTTTCTAAATAATTCTTTTAATTATTTGATATTTAAAGTCATTTTTTTAAAAAGTTTTATTTATGCAATATTTCCTACTTTTTCTTCCAATAACAAATATACAAAATGTGTATAGATTTTCTATATTTAAATTTGTTTCAAAATGCCTATAGAAAATAGTATAAGTTATTTTTTATAGAAAAACTACACAAATTTCGTTATGGGGTAGGGTAAAAAATAAATGATAATTTTATTTTTTTACTTATAAATTGCATTCATAACAGTTTAAATACTGTTTGAACAGTTTTACTTCTCGTCGTTGTCTCTGATTTGTCAAATACTCTGAAGTAACAAAATATTATTTATCAGAATCGTAACAGTCCAAGTCCATGAGAAAACTAGATTTGTCAACAAATTAAAGTTTTAAATCAAAAACACTATGTTTTTGACAACATTTTATATCTCAAGATGATTTCTAAAAATAAATTCAGAGCAAAGATATCAACAAAATTTGATGCGGACAAGTTTTATAACATTGAATTGAAAAATATTTTACGACTGTAAAAATTCCAGAATAAAATTTCCACTGGTAGCATTTTACGCCGGTAAAAAGTTTTTTAATATTGACCCCAGGACGTAAATATTTGCCCTCTGATTTAAATGAAAAGCGAATGTATGAACTTTTTTTGGATAAAAACAATACTTATACTGTTGGCTACCATTATTATTATGAGGTATTTATGAACCATTTCAATTTAGACTTTGAATACCCAGTAACAGATACATGCTCTACATGTCAAACATATAAGTTGGCTATGAAAAACCAAAATATTATGGATAACCAAAAAAATTAAAAACTGCTCTTTTCATTCTTCATTGAAGGAAAGCCAGAAAATTTTATAGTCTTCTCAATGATATTCATTCCAATGAAATCACTATCTGTTTTGACATGATGGAGAACCTTGTACTACCAAAACTCTTCCAGAACACGGTCACTCATATCTGCCAGCTGATCCTTTGTTTGGTCGAGTTCAGCTAGATATTAAAGAGACCAAATTTTTGAGCCTAATGAATACATACATATACTTATCCGGCATGGAAAAGTCATGGTTTATGGGCAGGATTGGTCTGCACTCAACTTCAAATCAGTTTGTCATGAGCAAAAAAACATTTTAAATCAGTGTAGCAAAAAAACTTGTTATTTATAGGTCGAAACTTTATTTTTTAAATTAAGTGCAATGGGTCATCTCAAAATTTTCCAAATCAGGTATAAAATGTGGAGTATTTTTTTTTGTTTTTAATCATAATCTTGGTTATTATTATCATCTGTGGTTTTTTTTCAATTTTAAGAAAAAATTTGCTAATAAAATGGTCAACTTTTTCAATCAAGGAAATAGTATAGCTTTTTTCATCTAGTATCGGTATGTTTTTCAAAGAGTAAGTGAAATTATTATACATAAATAGAATTAAAGTTAGATGTTATTAAATTAAATCAAACCCTAATATTTTGGTTTTTGCTGATAAAACAAATAACTCACTCACAACAGAAAATGTTTTATGCGACAATGTTAATATGTTAATATATTCTTATGAGAAAGTTCCTAAAATTTGGAAAATACAATTAATTTTTAAGCCCAAAGTACGGCAAAAAAAAACAACCTTGAAAACAGAATTGAATCAACTGCCCCTGTGCAAGATTTTGTAGCACTTAAAGATTATAAACCAAATTTTCAAAACAAATCTCAACCATCTGAACACACTTAGAATATATATATATATATATATATATATATATATATATATATATATATATATATATATATATATATATATATATATATATACATATATATATATATATATGTATATATATATATATATATATATATATATATATATATATATATATATATATATATATATATATATATATTAGCATTTTTTATTAGCATATAACTAAGAATGCTTGAATTGTAGTGTACAAACAAATTGCAAAAATATTTTTTTTAAGAAAAAACTAATAGTAAAGGTGTGAAAAGCAATCGCTTTTCACACCTTCACTATTAGTTTTTTCTTAAAAAAAATATTTTTGCAATTTGTTTGTTGTTTTTTTTTGTTTTTTTTGTTAACTTTTTTTTCTTTTCTAATTTAGCATTTTTTTTGGCCATTCTTAAAAGTACAGTTTTTGTCACGTTAAATTCTTTCGAATAGAAGTATGATCTTTGATCTCTCGAGTGGAGATTTTTTTCAACATAAAGCTTGAACTTAAATTACTTTAAATCTCTGCGTGGAAGCCAATATTATTTTAATACATTTATATATTTATTTTGATTTATATATTTTAATACATTATATTTAGTTTGATTTACTGGATAGATAAAGTACATTACAGTAAATTTACCTTTAAAATAAATCAAAACAACCAGTTACGTTATTACAGTAACATACTGTTACTCAAATATTAAATTTACTTCATATCCTTTAAGACTCTCGAAAATATAAATGTTTCTATTTATATGTTATATATTGTTAACCTATAGTATATGTTGTTAACACATAGTACAGGCTTTTACTTAAAAATTATTTTAACAAGAAATCTCAAATAGAATATGAAAAACGCAACAGCATTTTTTTATATTTTATTTAAATGTGATATTAAGATTAAACATTTTTTATAAATACGCAAGTTGTTTTTAGAAATTTTATTTCAACAAGAAATCTATTTGAACAAAAGAATTTCAGTCTTCTAAAATTCTCTTAATTAAATAATTTTGAGATTGAAATTTGGAATTCAAAAAAATTGGAAAAATTTAAAAGAATTTAAATGCTCAATAACTACAAATTTAATTCAGCATAATCCATAATACTCAGCCCGTAATACCCAGCATACAAGAATTGTTGCTGAAAGTTAAACATATATCTAGCTGCAGTAAGAATATCAGTTTTAAAGTGAGGAAGAAAGTTTTATTTATAATGTAAACATTTTGAATAGTTAATTTTGTTTTTTGAAAATAGTTATAAAGTAGAAACATTCTATTACAAACACTACTGATTGCAAAAGTTAAAAAAAAATTAAATTATAAAAAATTTAAATTAAAATTAATAAATTTTATTTACTTCTGTTCAAAGAAATTAGAAAAAAAAAAATCATTTAAAGGGATCCCAAAACTCCGAGACATATTGTGTTCATATAAAGAATATGATAAAAAAAAATGTTTGGGCTAAATTTTTTGATTAAAACAAAAGAATAAATGCATATCAAGAAAAACTAACATTTTTTACTTTAGTCAAAGCTCGCCTTCTCCGTTTTGTTGTAGACCAAAAAGTCAGATAAATATATAAACATATAAATATATAAATAAACACAAAAAGGCAATGATGTCATGTACTATTAGTACATATTACTCTTAAGAACAAAAAAAATTTTTTGCGATTAGATTTTTTTGCGTTAATTTGAATTTAATTTAAATATAAGATAAATTTTAATTAAAAATTTTTTAATAACAAAAAGTACAAAAATATTTATTAACCTATCTGTTTTTTAATTTAAAAATAAATTAATTTATTTCACAATTAAGGTGGTGAAAATGTTTTTGACAACAACTAATTACTACTTAATGTTTTCTGCATAAACTATTTCAAAAGTTTAAATGTTCCAACTGAAAAAAGGGTTGGCATAACGTAAACGGCTAAACAAGTAGGTAAAACTGCTGTTTCCAATGTAAAATGCAAACAGCATAACGCATCTTAGCAAGGCGTGCATGTATATTAAAAAAAAGATTGTTGCCCAAACCCTTAGTTGATGTAGCAGCACTTTTATGTTTCCCAGATTTACTCAATCAATGTACATACTGAAGCCCTTACTGCAGTATGATTTCATCAGTGTGTATCAAATGCTGCATTCACATATGTATATTAGGGTGTGCCAGAAAAAAAAAATTTTGAACTTAATATCAATCCTCTTTATTTGGTCCCAGTAGACAACCATAAAAAATATCCTGGCTCAAAGTCACTGTTTAGCTGAAGGTGTTTTAGAAAAAACTTGCATATAAATTTTAATAAGTTTTTTTTCCAGTTTAGACACTTTCTGCCGGTAGTCTGAAAACACCATCATCGTGTCTTGGAGCTCAAAATTTGACATTCCTTCTTCTTTCCATAAGAGAATATCATCTTTGGTAATACCAAGATGGAGAAATTAAAGAGAATAAAGCACTTATAGTAAGAAAGCAGAACCTGGATAAGATAAGGGGTTTAAAACTTGTTCTTCACTTTGACACAAAGTTGGTCAAGCAGTACAGGACAGAGATAAGATAAGACTCTTGAGAAACAAAGTCTGATAGCTTTGAGAGGAGACAGACCTATGTAAAAGGTTTTAGTTGTTCTTTGTCAAAGCTCTTCATCTCTGGGACATCATATTTTAATAATTTCAAAAGAACATCCATCCTCTCTTTCTCCTCCAAGTGCTGGTCAGCTAAAGCAAAGATAAAACACTGTGGTCACCACACTGTGTACCAAGTGTCTAAGAATACTAAGATTAAGAGCTTTGCCAATCTTTCCATTATATCTTCAATATTCCATTATACTTCTTGGAATAAAGTGGATTTATCATGATCTTTCCCTTTTGAGGAGAGTATTTCAAATATTCTCAGAAGAAAGTCAAGTGAGCGGGTCTCTGGAGAGGAAATACTAATTGCCAACCTTTCTACTGTTTCGGAAATCTTCATCTCTGTCCTGTACTGCTTGACCAACTTTGTGTCAAAGTGAAGAACAAGTTTTAAACCCCTTATCTTATCCAGGTTCTGCTTTCTTACTATAAGTGCTTTTTTCTCTTTAATTTCATGTTTTTTTCTTGCCATCTGTGACTTAGAAATGTTCAACAAGGGAAGACAAAATTGGTGTTTCAGCTCTCACACTATCTTGATACCTAAAAAAAAACAGCATTACCATTTTTTAAATTATGTAACATTTAAGTTGTTTTAACTTGAAGTTTTATATATACTTGTAATATACTTTACTTTTTTATATGCAAACTTATTTACCTTGTCATAAATGGAATCCACTTATCCAACACATCATTCAGACTGTGTTAAAGGCAAATCTTTGTTGAATCATACAACTTTTTTTTCTGTACAGTAGGAGTTTCAAAGTCTGAATCATAATCTGTTCCGCTACACTCACTGGAGAATTCCTGTTCAAAATTTCTCAAAGCTTCTTTTTCTGCTGTTTTTTCCAATAACTGACTTTCTTTATAGTCTCTCCTCCTGTTGCTTTTCTTCTACCATCTTCCTCAGCAGGATTTTTATCCTTTCCTCACCTTCAGCAACTATTTCAGCAATTGTTTTGTCATTTTTTTTGGACATCTTGACCATGTCCCCTTTAAACATCTCTTAAAAAAAAATTGAATACTACTTTACAGCCTCTTTACTCCTTCTAGGTTCCTGGCTAATTAACTTGAAAATGTCTTCCTTGTGTATAGGAAATAAAAGATTGGCTTTGTCTAAAAACTCTTGAGTGTGTTGGCTCATGGCTTCTTTGCTCATCTCTCGGGTTCTCATCTTTAAAACTTTAATATACTGGGTATACAGAGCAATTATTCTACTCCTAAATTAAAAAGTTACAACATTTAAAAAATGTCAACATTTTAAATATAACATTATAAATATAACAAAAAAACTTATATGCAATTATATTTCACAGATAAATATGTTTCACAGAATACTTTTTATGTGAGATTTTTGCTAGAGAAAATTGCTCTAGTATATTTAGTAACTTACTTAATCGACCGTTCAATGATGATAAAATTTTCATCAAAGTCTGCCTTGTTCCAAATGTTAATCAGCTCCCTTATGATGCACACATTAACTATTTTGTTTCTGTTATCAGCATAACATATACCACCACTGTATTTAAGTTTGCTTTTACTTTGCAGAGAACATCCAATTTTAGATGACAATGTTTTTATTGCAGTTGCATGATTCTGGTTAATCGGGTAAATTCTGAGACAAACTTCCTCATCCGTTGGAAGTCTATTTGGAGAAAATATCAGGAAAGGGTACCCCAACAGATAAAGAATTCTTCTTTCACTAGCTTTTCCAACATGCCCTGCACTAGCCATATTTAATCTTATTTTCTATATTATAAAATACAACAGAATTGATCACAAAATATAAAATGTTTTTATATATATTTTACATATATGTTAAAATTGTCACAATTAAGTTTATATTAATCAAATTAGAATTAAGTAGCAGTATACCATATATACTGCTACTGTTTTTTAACATCCTTATAACTGATATTTTATTTAAAATTTATTTCTATTTGTAGAAATTAGGTTAATTTTTCCATTAGGAGCACCTAATACAGTGTGTTATATAATCTTATTAGTGAAAACAACATAACGAGTTAGATATATTTAATAAAATAACTTAAAGTTTTACGCGATCATCAGATGTTATAACAATAACAATAAAAAACTTAAAGACAAAAATAACTATTTTAAAAAATATAATTAGATTTTTTAATTTTGTTTACAATTATTAATCTATTTACAAGGTAAAACTTTGACATAAGCTTGTTTTACTTAACATTTTAATGGGGGATATAATGTTGTATTTTCCCATCAAGCATAAGTTGTAAGGTTTACCACCAGGTTTGAATAAGTTTGCTTGGTAAATTCAAACCTAGTGCTAAATTTTGCAACTTACACTTGATAGAAAAATACCATATTACATCACCATTAAATTTGCTTAATAAACAAAATGAGCCTTACCTTAATCCCACACCATGAAAATAAATTACTAACTAAAAACCTTTATATCATCTTGCAAAAATAAATTAGTTTAACACATTACTGTAAAAATATTAAACCTCCTTCGTTTCTTTTACTTCTTTACACTGTGAAGCTTTTTCTAATGTTTCATCAAAATTATGATTTAACATCTTTGCAATCTGCTTTATCTCAACTGATAGTTGCTCAAGATCATTTAATGTTTTTAGTTGCCGAATTTCAAGTTCCTTTAATTCTGGTTGCATGGCTGAAGTCTATATTAAAAATAAGAAAATTGCGTATATATTAAAAAATCTAAAAAAATCTATTTGTTAACCTTAAAAAAAAATTATTAAAACTAAATCATTCTAAAAAAAAATTATTTTTAAAGTTTGATATAAAATACAGAAAAATTAACGAAAAAATCAAAAATTAGTTTTAGAAAGTATAAAACTGAAAAACAAATGAATCAAACAATTTATTTATTGCAATTGTGTGGAGAAACACATTTAAGAATATGAAATAGTAAAATGTAGAAAATAAAATTTTGTTTCAAACAAATGTAAAATAACTTAACAATACTGACTAAAAAATAAACTTTTTTCTTATCTGTAGTCTGATCAAAATAGTCGAAAAAATACTGGTAGGTTTGCAATAATTCGCATAGAGCTCAAAATAGGTACAGATGTTGAGGACATTATTAAAAAGTCCCCACCAATTCCACATCTGCAAAAAAAGTTATTCAATTGTGAAGGATAAAAACTTCTTCTTTTTGCTAGTGCATTTAACTATCAAAAAAAAAAAAATTCTGCAGATTTGGTGGGGATCAAACTCAAAACATTTTAGCATTCTATTGCTAAATTGGTATCGTATAGCACTCTATTGCTAAATTGGTACTGTATACTCACTACCTCCCACCTTAACTAAATACATGCTTACATACATGCACACTATCGACACATTTTACACTATGTATATACACATTATCGACACATTTTTTTGTTTTGAAACACACCATTCTGTTATGTAAACATCCTCTACTACATAAACATCTACTTTTGATGCTTGTGAAAGTATAAATACATATTTTTCTAGAAATATTTGTTTGCCAGGCATTTATATCATTTCTATGCTTTTTCATACACAATTTTCACACAACTGAGGGTCCAAAATTTTTAAAAAGTATTTCTTTGATGGCTGAATATGTTATTGAATAAGACTTTGTAACTGACTGACAATCCCATTTCTTCTTCCAGTGTTTACATTTGTGGTGTCTGCTTTTATACTCTTCTATTAATTGTATTCATAGAGAATGTTTGATATACCTTTAACAACAGTATCTGTTTTTCCGTCTAGTGCTTGTCACTTAAAGTAGGGGGGGGGGGTCCACAATCGTCTTTTTTTAGATTTTTTATAGTTTAACCAATTTTTCTTAATTAGTTTTCATGCTGATTCTGAAAATCATAATTTTTTTTCATTTTAATTATTTAGCCTTCTACTTCGATTTTAATAAAAGTGAATATATTGACAAAAAAAGGCATTGTTAAAAATAGATGAAATTATTATAATCATTAAATATAAGAAAAGTAGAAAAGTAGAAATCTTTTTCTGTTTAATTTATCAATAATATACATTATGATTTATAAGTAACAAAAAAATTAAGCATTATATATGAAAATAATTCATACACTTTGTTATTTTTACTATTGAAAATGGAAAATAACTATAAAAGTCATCATATGTGATAGAGGAACTCTGCGGGAACTTTCCATGTAGAACATCTAGGTTATGAGCGTGTTCTTTGGTAGACATAAGATAAAGGTTTGTATTTTTATATCAACAATTATGTATTTAAACAGAATAGACCTCCACAACAATGACCTACATTGTATCCCTAAAATAAAGAACCTCATTTTTCGAACTTTTTTTTCATTTTAACATATCTTTATCTACTTCAATAATGTCTAGTTCACAGCTAAATGGGCTGCCTTGTAACTTTAATCAAACTAAAATAGAACTCATCTTGCACACCTGATGTAAAGTTTGCTGTTCTTCCATTGTTATCCATTTGTTTTTGTAGCTGGTTTCAACTATATTCCATAGTTTCAATTTCTTGAACAAATAATTGAACAATAATTTTCCAAAATATTTTTAAACTATGCAAACCTCCATTTTTTATATCGTTTAAATAATTAAGTATACATCTACTGTTGAAATTAAATGGGTTTTTTCCAAAGCTTTACAACTGCAACAATTTGATTAGAAAGTTAATACTAATCATATTCCATCATCAACCAAACACATAATACTTTTTGAGGTCCTGAAGCTAACTTTTGCCAAAATACTCTAGCAAGAATGATACAATAACTTAACCTCTTTGAGGTTTACTTATTAACTGCTTCTAGAATTTTTTTAACTAGCTTTTCACTGCGTTTTAGAGCAAAGCAGAAAATTTCAAAATTTGATCGCCCAGTTTGTTTTTTATAAAACCTTTTAGGTAGCGGTGTTCCTTTTTATCTTTGTTAAACCTTTAATTTAACTGAACTTCTACTGACTAGCACTTTAAAAGAAGATTTATTCTTGACTTCATTAAAGAAAAGTGAAAAAAAATCTTGAATAGCCTTCTTGATAGCTTGAATAACGATTAAAAATAAAAATAAAGGAAATTAAGATATTTTGAAGCAATCTCTCTTTTTGATTACTTAAAATGTTTTGTTTAGAAAGACACTTCAGATAAAACTTTTTTTTTGAAGCAATCTGTCATTTTACTTATTTAAAACGTTTTTTTTAAAAAAAAGACTTCAGATAAAACTTTTTTTTTTCTAAAACGCAACGATTAAAAATCAAACTTATCCAATCAAAATTTGAATAGCATAAATTTGAAAGAAAAGTTGCATAACTTTATACGCAAAGAAACTTTTACAAAGACTTATTTTTTATATTTTTAAATTATTAAAATAGAAGTAGAAGGTCAACCATAAAAAAAAATAATAAAAAAATAAAAGAAATTTGTGCTATCGATTTGGACTAAAAAGACTAAAAGTTGTCGAAAGTCAAAATTATTCAACTTTAAAAATTCAAATGTCCGATTTATTTGACTATAAACTTCCTACTATGAGGAAAAATTTTTATTGCAATAAACTTATATAGTTTTATAACATTCATTTTTTCGTTTCAAAAATATACGTTTTATCATTTCAGTATTTGAGTATTCTTCAAATATTTTAACAAAAAATATAAAATAATAAAGACTCACAAGCAAAAAATATACATCTTTAAGTCAAATCTTTATAATCATTTTTTGCGCGTTTTTTTAAAAAAGCAATAAAATGTTAAAATTGTTTTATGTTATTTTAACATATATCACTTTTGTGAAACAATGAAAAGTAGATGTTTTCCAACTTGTCTTTTGAGTTTGTGTATAACACTAGCTTTTACTTCTCTCAACTACTATGTAAAATATTAATTTATGACCTCGAAATCATTAGTTATTTATTTTTATTGCTAACTATATTTTTAAATAGTTCAAATTTAGCAAAAAAAAAAATTTTTCCTTTTGCATTTCATTAATTAACGATAATTAACGATCTTTAAATCAAGAAAAAATTTTAAAATACTGTAAATTTTCTACTAAGTCTGTTTACATACTTTTACAGTTTTCAGTAACTTGTAGGCCAATTTAATAGATATTGATAAATGGCCTATCCACTTTAGGGATAAGGGTGTAAATTATGTTTATTTTTAGAAAAAGCTTGCTATGCCGATGAACATCAATATGCTTAACAAATAACAGGATAAAACAGTTTTGGAAAACTTTGAAAACAAATTATCATAGTTGCTACTTAAAGTTATAATAAAAAAACTCAACAAAATACCAAAAAAAAGTGTTTTTCAAAGAGAGCTTTCTAAAATTTTTATAATCTGTTTCACAATATTTTACCAAAAAATTGTCCATAGCAACTGCCTAAATAAGACATCAAATTTACCCAATAATCATAAAATAACTTATCATTTTTTGAAAATTTCTTAAATTTCCAGAAAATTTCCAGAAAATTTAAAGGAGATTTTCATCCCTAATTTCTACTAATCAACTAAAAGTTGAATTAGTCGAGTAACAATCATTTACTTAAGGTGGTACACCAGCAAATATTTTAAAATCTTCATAACTAAAAAAAAATAATCAATTTAATATTAACACAAAATATATAAATTGAGAATGCCTTTTTATACTTAACTTTTTATTGCCTCGCTTATTTTGCCTCACTTATACTAAAAAACCATCTTTTTAATGGGTCAATTCAAAACACAAATTATTGAAATATAATAATACAAAACCTATGAAATTTTTTGCACATGTTCTACATGTGCACAAGTAACTCAAAGTTCATTATAAAGTTGAAATCATTACAAACAAAATCATTTTTGCTAATGTTGTAAAAAAATTTGGCTCTTGTGGTATAACTGTGCTTTGGCATTTCATTTTTTTATGCTTTGTTGTAATGATTAATGCTTTGGTAATGTCTTTTTTTCCTTCTAACATAGCATCAGACCATCTTAAGGCTATTAAGTTAAGAGAACCAAAGTCTTTTATACAGAACAAGTATTTTTTTAATCAGTCAGATAATTAACTATTCGACAAATTAAGCTGCGTTTAGCAATTTTGTTTTTAATTTATTTGAGAAAATAATAATGTAAAACACTATAAAAACTTGTTTAAGCTTATGACTTATTAATTACAGAAAAAACTAGAAATTATTCAGTAATGTTTATGGATGTTTTGCGTTGCTACAGAACTTTTTTCAAAAAAGTTACTTCTCAATATTACCAAAAAAATTTAGCCACTAACTTTATATATTATTAACCTACAACAAATTGCCTATCAAATGAGCTAAATATCAACATTTATCTATTTTATTAATTTTTGTTTGTTTACTCATTTCTTGTGATTTTCATAAATACTTTCAAACATAGCCATTCCAAGCTGGCTTGGGGTCTTAAGGCAAAATTAGGTTGTAAACCTCCAAAATCTAAATTTCATTTATACATTTACATTGTAAATATGATTGTATAGACTTTTTTTAATAAAGTATTTAAGGCAGTGCTAATTCATTGAAGTCTGGGAATAAATTCACACACTTTGCAATGACATCGCAAATGGAGGAAGTATTTTTTTAATGGCGAAAAGTTGAAAAAAAGAAAAAAAGATAATCAAATAAAAATTGCAAAGAATAGATTTACAAAAACTAATGAAGTGAAAACAATGAAAATATTAAAGAATATAAATTGAAGAAAAATATTAAATAAACAGAACAAAGTTGAAAAAAAGAAAAAAAGATAACCAAATAAAAATTGCAAAGAATAGAAGATTTACAAAAACTAATGAAGTGAAAACAATGAAAATATTAAAGAATATAAACTGAAGAAAAATTTTAAATAAACAGAACAACTAAGTTCTGTTTATTTAAAAAATTTTAAATAAACAGAACAACAAGCAAAGTTAAAAAAAAAATGTTCTTGAGATATTCGAAAATAATAAACTTTAATAAGTTATTAAAAAGTAAAACAAAAAAAAAACAATTTTTTAGTTTAAATTTTAATTTATGTTGTTTACATTGTTTACACTGCTATATATTTTTGTGTATTGTTTATAATGTCATGTAATATCGCAATTTTCGTGTTCTTGTGTATTATTTATATTGTCAAGCATTTTTTTTTGTGATGTTGTTGCTATTATTATTGTTGCATTTTACATTTGCTGCTATTATTCATATTTTTTTGTCTCATAATAATTAAATATATATTTTTTATTTTCTATCACCCTTCTGATCATTAAACGTTGTGTTATCTTATTCATTCATTATCTCTTATGTCAGCTCATTCACTTTTTTTATTTTTTGCCATTAGTCTGGCTTTTTTTAATAGCTATTGTTTTATTTTTTATTATAATTATTTTTTGGTCACTATCTATATTATTACTTTTTGTTGTTTGCTTATTTTTTACTTTATTTGTTTATTTTATTAAGGTGTCACTCCAATAACTAGTTTTTAACTACACAAGTGACACCAAACTTAATTTTGTAAAATTATAAATAAATCTGTAATTTTTTTCAATTTTATGGTTAAATAAAAGGATTTTTAAAAAAAATTTTGTTGTGGGAGCAGGACCTCTCTTATATTGTTTTGTATTTAATATTTTGTTTTGACAACTTTAACTTTGAATAATTGCGGACAATTTGTAAAAAAAAAAAAATTATGTGTGGTCATACAAAGTGTGCAACTGCTTATATAAATAAGTGGTCCTACTTTAATAATTTTTACTTGTTACTAATAAGAAATTTAAAAAAGGTTTTTGTGTAAAATGACCTTAAAATATAAAAAATTTAGTCTTAAATTTAATGTTTAGGCATTAAATTTGAGACTAAATTTAATGCTTAAATATTAGGAAGGTTATACTTAAAAAAATGATCACCACAAAAATAAATGTAAAACAATTTATTTTTTTTAATAATTTGTTTTCTTCTCAAAAAACCTCTGAATTTAAGGTTTAAAAGTCAATGTTATTAGAAAGCTATATTCTTGTGGTAACAAGCATTTTAATAAATCTAAGCTCAAAGCTCACCATACTCTTGGTAGAAACACACTCAACTTGTTTCTCCATGCAGCTGCCTCATTCTTCAAGGTTTGTGTTTTGAAATTAAAGAGTTGAGAGACATTTGTAAAACAATTGTAGCAAAAATAATAGTTAAATAAAAACAATATTAATAAAAAACAACAGCAACAATAACAACAACAAAAATAACAACAACAGCAACAACAACAACAACAATTGTAACAAGATCTTCAGATATCAAAGAATACAAACAAAAAGTAACAAAATCTTAGATTTGTAAAAATCTAATAAAATTAGCTTTTTTAAATATCTTTTTTTTTTTGACAAGATTAAAGATAAGAAGGGTGAAGCTATTTACACAAAGTCAAAATAGTGAATTTCAAGACAAGACCAGACATTTTTACATAGTTAAACACATAAGCTGGGTTAGCTTCTAAGCTATTCACAAAATATTCTAAAGTTCACAAAGTTTGTTTAAAAAAAAATGATTTTTTTACAATTGTTAAATCGTATGCAATCAGCTGATGACAACATCAACATGTGTGTTTGAACACATGAAATTAAGTTTTAAACAGTGCCAGACACACAACCTCGACAAAGAATAAATTTAATTAGTAAATATTTCATTTTATTTCACTTTCTCTTTACTAGTTTAACTTATATGACAATAAGTTTAAAAAATATTTTTTGGTTTGTTCTGCTTTTAGAATAACTGAAGACTTTAGAGATTTTTAAACTGTCAGAAAAAAAAATTCACATACAGTATCTAAATTGCTGTAAATAATCGGAGTTTTATACATTGATGAAGGAAGATCGACCAACACCTCATTTCCGTAAACTGACCCACATTTGTACATTTCATTGCAATGTTTAGTTGGCACGTGTGCCATTTTAATAAGCAATTCCCAACCACTGATAAATAGAGCGAACTTGGTTTTTAAAGAGAAAGTTTACGGGAATGACTGCGAATTTTTATCTTTTTTTTAATTTCTAATCTGACATTTTGTTTTTAAAAAAATCATTCCTCACCCCCCATCTTCCTTGAAAAATAATAAATAATCTATATTATAATAACATCTAACCAGCATTTCTATTGTTTCATTATCTTTTCTTTTATTCTATTATGATATTAAGGAGAGTACGGGCAATGATTGTTGCCTTAAGAACGGTGGACAATGTGAACCCGGCTACTACCGATGTTTTTAAAACGTCATTATATTAATTGTAATGATTATTATGAAAAAAATAGATTATAAATAGATTTTTGATAGATCTATTTATTTTTTATTAAATTTTCTCATACCTACAACATCCCTTAGAAAAACAGACTTCTCAATAACATGTCGAGGACCACGTTTGTGGAACTATTTCCTGAATAGAGACATGAAAAACATGACTTCAATTAAACTATTTAAAAGAGCCGTTAAACTATACTTATTAGATTTAAATAATAAAAACATTCTTTTGTATTTTTAAAAAAACATTTATATATTGATTTGTTAACACGTATATATGCTTGTGGCCTATGTATATTTTGTGAACTGTGATGTGTTGTGTTATGTACAAAACTTGCAATATTTATAAAACTTATACAACGTATATTTTAAGAAGTTAATACGTAAAACTTTATTGATATTTTCACGAACTTAGGAGCAGGGTGATAAGACACATTGTCTTCTGCTTGTTCCTGTCAGAATATAAATATTTAATTTTTAATTTTTACAAAAAACATTGTAAAATGATTGTTTATTGACGAAATATATATATATAATAATATAATTATATATATATATATATATATATATATATATATATATATATATATATATATATATATATATATATATATATATATATATATATATACATATATATAATTTGTTTATTTAGGTGATCTAAGAAGCCCTTTCGGTCTTCTTACAGATCACTGCGCATTGAAGCAGGAAATTCACGCCTTCTTCCGTACCAATGTTGCTTAATGCAATGTTGCAAGAGCCAGCTTCAAACCAAAAACCTCCGTTTCTGAAGCCAGAATTCTAACCATGGTTAGAAAAGTGCACTACATCACAGCTGTATAAATATACGCCCCCACCACACTTTTTGTTTTTGTTGCGCTTCTCTTTAAATATATTTATAAACAATTTGAAAATATATTTAAAAACTTAGTTTTTTAAAAATGTAAAAAAAAATATTTTGCAATAAAAAAAAACTAAATTGCCCCAAATAGTTGTAAATGAACCGATTCTAGGCTTTTTTTCTAAAACAAAAATAAGTGGCATCGCTTTTGTTGGTGTCACTCAGTGCGGTAAAGTTTAGGTGTCACTTTTACTAATAGGGCCAACGATACTAATTTAATTTTTTTTTTTTTTAAAAAAAAAAGGGCCATTACATAAAAGTTACTGTCATGTTTACATTTTTCATTTTGGTGTCATCCTACTGTAACAGGTCGTGATGGTGGCACCCGCTGCGGGTCGCACCCACTGCACCCTCTAGTCACGCCACTGAAAAATAATAAACTCGTTGTATAAAAGTCATTAACATCAATAAATGGAAACTACTTTATCAATAAATCTTCAGATTGAATAAAAACTTTTATTCAACCTGGAGATCCAGATTGAATTAAACTTTTATTCAATCTGCAACTCGTTTTGAAAACATAAGCTCTATTGTCCTTTTATATAAAACTTTAACTGTTCAAAAACTAACGAATGTTCTTGAGCTTTGTGAATATAAAGAAGTAATAGTGAAAATTCATGATGTAATTGAAAGAAACGCACTAAAGTCACATCTAAACGTTTCAAAGCATAATAAAAATTACTTTCTTTACAGAATATACCAACAGCAAAACCAGCTTAGCTTATTCGCTTGTTAAAAAACATTTGATATTGTACAATTCAAAAACCAAAGAGCTCCACACCCTTTTTTAGTCACTCACCCTTTTTTAGTCACACACCTTTTTTTAATCAAAGCTTTGTGAAATAGTCAACTAAATTTAGACAATAATGCAAAGCAAAAAAAGGTTAAAATTTTTGTCATAAAAAATATAATTCCCGAAAAATATTTTTAAGTTTTAAAATGTGCAATTTAGCGCTTGAAAAATTCTTATATAATAATATTACGTTTATCTTTAATGAACTTCAGGGTTTTCATCTTCAAAAGCCAATTATCGGTTGTTTGTGTTTAAAATATTTGTTAAATAGTATTATAAAAGTATATTATATGATAATCCTGTTGTTGTATCTATATTATATTTGTAATTATGTTGACTACAAAATATGCTATTTTTTGAGGTCAAAAAAAGGCGGCATTATTTCATGCATCAATTGAATTGGTGAGTGCAGAAACCACTTCAGTCACAAATTCAAAAATGGTTTTTGAAAGAAGCAACTTCAGTACCATCAGAATACGCTTTCTCGATTTCTGCGTATGTGGTCAATCAACAGCGTGCATTTTTGGCACCCGAAAGAGTAGAGATGCTAGTATTTCTAAACAGTAACTAGAACTTTTGTTACGAAGACACTTTTCTTTTTTTTGCTGTAGAAATTTATTCAAGCCATTCATTATTCAAACAAAATCAATTAACATTGCATAAATAGAGCAGTTACAATAATAAAAATTTAAGGGGATAAAGAAATTATTAAGTTTTTAAAAGTTATTAAAATTTAAATTATTAAAATTTTTAGCAACAAGATTTTCAAGGTCTTCTTTCACATACATAATTTAGGCACGTGTGTAAAAATTTTAAACTGTTTTTATTATTGATTATTAGGGGAGAGTCGGGTAGCCCCGGACACTTAAGGAAAATATAGATTGTACTCATATGCTAACAGAAAAAAAAGTGTCAAAAGACTTTTTTTAAAAGTTCAAACATTCATCTATCGAATTAGAAACAAAAAAATAATTATTGTGTATCTTAATAATATACAAAACATAAAAGAAAAAATGTTAGAAAAAAGGCATGTTTCAAAATTGGAGGGTAGCCCCGTACACATAGTTAAACCATGATTTTACCTCTTTTTTTACCAGTGTGAAATATATGTAATATATAATAATTTAGCATTGAACTTTTTTTTTTTTTTTTTTTACATTTATTTTGTTGTTTAACAAATATAATCAACACATATATATACAAGAAAGAAAGAAATATGTCCGTATAACAAAGAAGACAGTAAAATCTTGTCAACAAGCACCGTTTTTGTATATACAGTATATAAAATAAACTATACTTTTTTACAATGATCTTTATAAAATAAAGAGTTAAACAGACAGGGGCTCAAAGAAGATGAAGATGACAAAACGTCATTGCAATCTTTTCATAGAGCCCCCTATATACATTTTCATTTTTTAGTGAACTGTTCTTGACACATTTTTAAAAAATGTCCGATACCACCCGATCATATCTCATTCACAAATACTAGTTTTGAAACCAGTGAATTGAACTTTTTAACGAACTTTTTTTTTTTAATAACTATTGTAAATAAAAATATATCTTTAATTATTAAAAAGTTATTAGTTTACATAAAAATTAGGTATATTAATATGTGAATCAAATATGATGATACGTCGCTCTTCTGGTGGTGGGAAACAAAATCTTGCCCTCTCAGTCATTCGCTTCGACATTTTATGATAGATATTTTTCATATGCCATATTTTTACTCAAATTATGTTATTCTAGTATTAAAAGTCAAATAGCTTTTTTAGTTTAAGCTATACATCAAGTTTCCGGAGTTACCCGCCGTCCGGGGCTACCCGACTTTCTCCTATATATTATTGGAAAGAGGCTAAAATCAGCATTATAACAGTCAAAATTTCATAACAAAATAACAATTCTACAAAAATGTTATGCTCATTTAAGTAACAAAATTTGATTACAAGGGTTGCCTAATAAAACTGCGACCATCGGCTTAGGGTAGTTTTGTAATTGAACTTTATTGCTAGAAGCGCTTTATTTTATAGTTATAGTTTTAACGTTTAGGTTCATATTCTGCTACAAAAAATTAGGTTTTTGCTACATAATTTTTTTCAATAAAATTTGGCATGGACATAGAAAATGGGTTTTTAAACTTTTCTAAATAGTTTCAAAAATGTTCTCAACACTTCTTATACATAAATTTGATGTCTGATCAACAACGGAGTTTTTTAGAAAAGTTAATTTAATGAAAGCGGTTGTAACTACAAAAAAACTATCCAAAAATAAAGTTTAACTCTTCTACTTTTCAAAAAAGTCTATGCTGATATAAAATTTTTAAAAATAACACAACAAAATACATACTAACTCAAACGCTTTGATAAAATAATCGAAGATTTTGATTACATAACCGGTGCCGTAACTCATTGGAAATATGTACGCATGTACATAATTAGTATTGTAAAATTATTATATTACAATTAAAGGTTTTACATATAAGAATAACAGGGTTATTCATTCTTATATGCGCATTTATTCATTTTTATATGCGTGTTTATTTATTAGTATATGCGTTTTAAAAAAGAAATTTGAACAAAAAAAAAAAATTGCAAATAAAAATGAATAACCCCAAAAGTATAAAAATGAATGAAATAAATTTTAAACTTATAAAATGGTGATTACCCGCCTTTTAAAAATGCTACCCAGGCAGTAACCAACGGGTACTCGGGTGCTCGGGTACGCGTTCACTGCCTTTTTTCATTCAACAATTCAAAATAGTAGCATTAACTTACTAATATAAATTTATAAAATAATTTCCACAAGTATGAGGGGAACTAGCTCAGATGGTAGAGCGCTCGCTTAGCATGCGAGAGGTACGGGGATCGATGCCCCGGTTCTCCATTTTTTTTAATATGTATGCATTTTTTAATTTTACATGAAAATTGTAAAAAATAAATAAATAAATCACCGTTCTCTGATGGGAGCCGAACCTAACCTTGGGAACCTATGCGCAATCAATTTTATGGATAAGATCGAGGATGTCACGTGGCTGTAATTTTATCTCACCTCATTCAACATGACCGCCGAAGCGATTGACGTCAGAGCGACTTAATGTATAGC